GAAGAAATCGCATAGCGATGGCTTTTTTGCCATCGCTTTTGTGATCGCACTACGATCTTGCCTATGGGGAAAAATCGCTTTGTGATTTTTCCCCATAGGCGACATTTTCCCCCACCTGAGCGGCGGGGCTTCAAAGCTCCCGCCGCTCAGCTGGGGGAAAATGGTGCCTATGGGGAAAAATCACAAAGCGATTTTTCCCCATAGGCAAGATCGTAGTGCGATCACAAAAGCGATGGCAAAAAAGCCATCGCTATGCGATTTCTTCATTAAACGGGGCGCTCGTTATACGAGGCACCACTGTAATATACAACATTGTTTAGGAAACCTGGGCTTCTGACGGATTGTAAGATTAGTAGCATGTGCTTCATCTTCTGTAACTGAATTTTCAACATTTCCTAGATATTCTGAATTAGGAATAGGCACCAGATTCTGCTAAACCAGGATCCTCCTTAGTGCTGGTGCTTCCCTCAGCAAAGCATATTTCCTGCTGAAGCAACTAAAATCAAAGCTGGACCTGGAACAATGTTTTGTACATATTTTGGAAGAACAGGGTCTTGCCGGAGTTTAATTTCTCTAAATTTGCCAAATATTATAGAAAGAGGGAGATGGAGTTGGATTTAATGAGACAAGGCCACCTTCTAATTCATGGCTATGGAAGGTTTGGCTTACAAGATGCTGGACTGCAACGCCTATTATTGCTCACTGCCTGTGGTAGCTGGAACTGGTCCTGTTTTAATCACTGGACACATGTTATCAGGGACTCCAACCACTGTGCCTTAGTGAAAGAACTGTGCACTTCATAAAATGTCACTTTCTGAACTTTCATTCCTATTTATGATATTGCTTCAACACCATGTGAATCATATGCTCTTTACTAAAACTTCAATGGCAATTAGAAATTTGTGTTCTGTGCATCTCCACCAATTCTGTAAAGGAAATGCAATATATTTTATTTTTAGAAAAAAGGTATAACATAGTGACTCCATAATTCTTTATAATAATTTATTGCTTTAAATAAGCCTACTTTATGGTTAGTAAATTCCATAACTTGTGCGAGACTATCAGTAGGCAATTACAGCACGAACGACATCTCTGTCAATAGCATGTGAAGAAGCTGGACTGAGGCACATGGAAGCTTTGCTGTAAAGGTGAAAAGTCTATCTGAGAAGCCTCTGTGGAGTGGACAGCTTTATTGGTTGCAGATATATATCATACGCTGTGTCCAAGTGTCTATACAGACCATGGTTTCTACAAAAGAGCTTCTTTTTGCTGTGCACTACAGGTGAATGGAAGGACAGATCCTGAAGCTGAGGCTCCAATACTCCGGCCATCTCATGAGAAGAGAAGAGTCCTTGGAAAAGACCCTGATGTTGGGAAAGTGTGAGGGCAAGAGGAGAAGGGGACGACAGAGGACGAGATGGTTGGACAGTGTCAATGAAGCAACCAACATAAATTTGACCAAAGAGGCAGTGGAAGACAGGAGGGCCTGGTGTGCTCTTGTCCATGGGGTCACGAAGAGTTGACATGACTTTACAACTAAGCAACAACACGTGAATATCTCAATCAATTTCCCACCACAATATCGGGTCTAGTCTAGAAACTATGTTATTTAAATAAATGCAGAAACAAATCCAACGGCAATGTAGTTCTCATCTTCAAACAGAAGAAATGCAAAGCAACAAAGTGCTTTCTCAGTCTCAGCACAACAACAAATCCTGAACCTAGCAGTAAGACACAATAGGTATTGACTCCCCATAACACAAAGAGAGGTGACTTTCAGAACAGACATGATTTAAAAAGTAGTTTGGGAAATTAAGGAAGAAGATACTGCAAAAGAGTTCAAATCAAAGCAGATCAAAATTATGCACTAAATTTTTTCCTGCACATCTACTTTTTCTGAAATTGAAACAGAACAGAAAGACTGTTAACTTCACTTCTTCAAGAGAATTGTTTGGGACAATAATGATATTAGGCACCACATGAACTGTGTGCACCAATTCAAACTGTAAGTAACTGGGCTGAGAGGCTGAGGTTTTTCTTTGTTTGGTTGAATTTTTAAGTTATTATAAACCAACTGCTCCTGGCATGAGCCTTTGCTGCTCAGATTATTTTTACACTCAAATAGGACTTTTAAGAAATAAAACGTATGCATATGAAATGAGCATTTTGCAGTTTTAAAAAGTGTTGAGATGTATGTGTCCATATATAAGCCATGGAAGAGCATCATCATGAACAGTACAAAGAACTTAGTAGTGACATTTAAATAAGCATCTGCTTTACTCACAGTGGGGAGAGTACACAAAGATTTAATCAATGGAATGGTGTCTACAAAGTACAGAAGAGAAGGTCCAACCAATATCAAAAACATACACTCTTTCCATATGAGATTTTTTTTAAAGATTGAAATTTAAGAGGTTTTCTTTTCATTTTTTTTTGTACAAGTGCAGGTGCTAGCTCCCTTTCTCTTCAGAAAACTATTGCCACTTTTCATTCCACACATAGGGGGAGTGACTATACATAGTGCAAATAGTACGCCCATTAATATAAACATGCCTCTCAAAAACAAAACTAAAAAAATACACATTTACCAGTTCTGAACATTAGAACTGGCAGAGATTAGTTCCTTTGGAACTTTCATATAATAATGGTGATAACCACTTCAGGTGGGGGTTGGGAAGTATTATGTTTACTGGCCAATATCAATTTATTCCCAATACTTGGAGAAAGGGAAATCTAGATACAGACCTTCTGGAAGTACTTGATTCCAAATAGCTGATTAGAGAACACAATGCAATGACAATTAACCTATAATAGGGAATTTCGCCACCTATGATCAGAATTTCAAATGCAAAAAACCCATGCATTTTTGCTTCTTTAACATCTTGTTTTTTAATATCTTCCTCGGAATGCGAGTTGTTGCAAAATCCAGAGTGGCAGAGTGGTCTCATTTCTATTTCATTTTCATTTCCCCTCATGCTGAGGGTGCTATGAAGTTAACCTGCTGTTGAGTATATTAAAAAATCCTTAAAATGTCTGTTTTCCTACAAAACCAATACTGGCAGATTACAATGGAGTCATCTGGTAAAGCACAGGACAGGTCAAGTCATTTGTCAGCAACATGCCCACAGAAGATTCCTTAGAAGCATCAGTTGCTTGTCTTAATGCTCTTCCATCTCCATTCATATGAGCACAGCGGCCATCACAGTCTACGTTACAGTAGGGCTTTCAGGTGTCTGTCGTGCCAACTTCTTTGGAACAGAAATAATGTACAACTACTGCATTGGGATAGCGGGCAAAGGCACTACAGGAAGAGAGTATATAAGATTAAATTCAGTTATAGTTATATCTTAATTATTTTTTCTTTCCACTACATACAGCTGCAGCTATCTTCTGAAATGCATAAAACCAGTACCTCTTATAAAAATATGTAATTTTTTGAGGTTACTATTGTACCAAAGCATTTCGTTGCTCTTAATATTTTGTTTCCTTTTGCTGTTTTGTCCTCTCCTGCAGTGCTAGCTATATGTTTTTTTCTTTCTTGTCAGTAATAGGTTGTTTATCTATTATTTACAATAGCTCAAAATTTAAAATACATACATTGAAAGCCCGTTACATAACTCATACCTGTGGAATGGCAATAACATCATAGCCATGAGCAATTTTAAATACAGTGGTGCCTCGCTTGACGACGATAATCCGTTCCAGCAAAATCGCTGTAGAACAAAATCGTCGTCAATCGAAAGTAAAAAAACCCATTGAAATGCATTGAAAACCAGTTCAATGCGTTCCAATGGGCGAAATACCTCATTGTGCACCAAAGATCCGCCACAGGGCGGCCATTTTCCATGCCTGTTAAGCAAGGAATCTGTCCTAAACACAGCTGGGAGCCATTTGGCACGGGGGGGGAGCCACTTGAGAGCCGCGATCAGCTGTTTTAAAATCGTCATTTAGCGAAGAATCGGTTCCCGAAGCAGGGAACTGATCGTCATAGAGCGAATTTTCCCCATTTAAACACTGTTTTGCGATCGCAATAGCAATCACAAAAACCTCACAATAAAGCAGATTCGTTGTGGAGCGGGCTAATCGTCAAGTGGGGCACCACTGTAATTAAAAACTTGCTCCTTCTATTCTGCATCCTCCCTACTCCCATGCAATCCTTTGTTAAAAGCAAATTCTTAAAAATAACAAATCAGTTATAATGAACTCCAAACAGGACTGTACTCCAAAACAGGCAAAAATGTATTCAATATGTGATCACAAAGGGTACAGTGCCCCTGGAATCCAAACTCGGGCAAAGGCAAAGACATACAGAAACAGACTCATTATAAACCTTGCTTGTTCTTTGCCCTAAAGCATTGCTTCCCAACCCCGGGTCCCCAGATGTTTTTGGACTACAACTCTCAGAAATCCTAGCCACCACAGCTAGTGGTGAAGGTTTCTGGGAGTGCAGTCTAAAAATACTTGAGTTATCCAAGTTTGGGAACCATTGTCCTAAACCACTGTCCTAAAGAGGCTTCTTTCTTCCCCAAAGGGCCTGTTTCTCATACATACACATACACATTAACTTTAATATCCTGCTCCAAAAGATGAAGGAAAAAATTATTTAGCCAGGGCTCCAACACATATAAGGTGACCCATGATTCCCTTGGAGGGCCATGAGCTCCAGGCTGGGAAACACTGTCCTAAAATAACACCGAACTACAGCCACTTACTTAGTCCCTGTTTTCACTGTCACATATATCTTCTATCTACTGGAAATGGTTAAATAAATCAGACAGAACCTTTTGGTACTTTGGGTTAACTTCTGATCAAGTTCCTCTTTTAAAATGCTTATTGTCGTGATTAATATCCAGACTACTGTAACAGTTTTTCAAAGGTTTCTAGCTCAGATGTTTTAACTTGGTACAACAAATCAAACTACAAATCCTTTGTTTCTGTTACTGATACATTTCTTGATTGATATGGTTAATAAAAATTATTTTGTCACACACTTTCATTGTGTGAACAATTGTGGGAGAAGCAGTACTGAAGTAGGAAGCTTTTAATAATCAAAAACCACCCCTGCCCTTGATATTGTTCCCCCTTCCACAGATATGCAGTAAGTTACGTTAACAGGAAACAATCAAGCCATATTCCAAGGTAAAAAGTCACATACTGCCACTTTTGCTAGGCTATGAAAAAACTGGAAGTTTCACCTACCTATTTCCAATCTTCTTTTTACACACACTGCAGAGCTTTTCTTCTGTGATTATACATTTAACTTGCTGATGCAAAATCCTTTCCTCCTGTACCTACAGCAAAATCAAAACAAAGAAATGTAATTCCGTTACAGACAGCCTGAAGAAATATGGAAATAATCTTTTAGCTAGCTAATTTATTTTTTCTATTTTTGTTTTCGTACTAGAAGTTATCAACTTCTTTGCAAGCAACACTCACTTAAAGATTCCCAATAAATATTCATTTTTAAACTTTCCTGTTGCAATCAATGATATATATGGACACATACTCTCAAGAATTCAGCATGGAGAAGGTTTTTAAGTACTTGATTGAATCGCTTCTTCTGGGCATTTTCTTCTAGAACTTTTTCGAGGAAGATTTTGATCTCACTAATTTGAGTATTTGCTGGAAGGAGATTTATTGCCTAAAAACAGAACAAAGGGAAATTTAAGTAATGATTTGTATTAAAATTCTTTCACCCTGTCGTTACAACGTATCAAGTATTAATTTATACTTTATTTTGCCTTAGTGTCAATCCTGGCGAAAAATAGGTTGTGTAGCCAACTCATGATCACACAGCCCCTCTGCCAAATATTTTGTCAGCGCTGTTCCTCTCCCAAACCCATGGCCAGCTCTATGAGCTGCTCTTGGTAGGAAGGATCTAAATTATGCTAGGTTGACACAAATTATGAGTAGGAGGCTATACACCCCAAACAGTCAGTAACGGTGATCCGAGGTGGGAACCCACAGACACTGGAATACAGAGAATAGTGGGAGACAGAACCTCTGTCATTGTTGCAGAAGCTCTTGCTGGAGGGTTCAATGCTAAAGGAAGAAACGGGGGTGCTGACGGAATATGGACAGAAGCTGTTGAGTCAGAAATACTTGATTCAAGTTTGTTGAACCCCTTTCTCCCTCCGTTGGGGGAGAAGGTGAAGCTACCTCCCAGAATGACTGTGATGTCTGGGATGAAGAAGACACATTAAATGTTATTCTATTTAAAAAAACAAGTCGTCTCTCTGTGAAAGTTGTGTGTGAAAGCAGAATCCTCAAAGGGCCCCTGGCACATTTAAAGGGGGCCACAGACTGAAAACAAGTTTTCACATGCCTTTCTATAAGGTTCATTATGCAACTTATGCAATCCTGATTTGGTCTATATTTCTTTTATATTATGTTCATGGCGAAGGCCAAGAAAAAAAACTGAGAATGGCTGCTGAAGCTTATTTGTCAGGAAAAGCTGTTTTTGGAATTAATACATAAATGTTAGTGTCTTCATGCAGCCAAGCTGTTCTACACTGCAGGTTATCTGTATAAAAATTTTGAAAAACATAAATACTTACTTTGGTAGTATCCAACTTGCTATGATGAAGTTCTAAAACTTGCAGTGCAGCCTGGAGATTAGCTTGAGGCTCCAATAGTTCCATCTTAATTGGTCCCAAACAATGAACACTAGGTGGCGAGAGATACATCCGGAGCAGAGACAAGTATACCTGCTTGACACAAAACAAATCACTGCACTTAGCACCCAATCCAAATTGGCTGACATTATATTCCCAAGAGGAGCTAGTTAAGTTTGTGATCCTATATACCTTTACATCATGCTGAAATCACTGGGGCTTACTTCTAAGATGATGTATCCTGGAGTACATTTTGAATGTATCTCCTTTTTTAGATACAGCGAGTCGAGCAGAGATGTCCAGCGCTCCGCCTTGCCCAGTGACTCTTGATTTCTTTCAGCCTGTGACGCCAGATATTATGGACAAAGCGCTTGATCGCTGGTGGGCCACCACCTCATCCCTTGACCCTTGCCCGGCCTGGCTAATCAAAGCAGTGAGGCCTATAACAACATAATGGGCCATAGCAATAATTAATGGGTCTTTCATTGAAGGCAGGGTACCTCCTGCCCTCAAGGAGACACTCATTAGGCCAATAAGGAAGAAACCTAGTTTGGCGGTGAATGAAATTGCCAATAGCAATCGCCATAGGAAACATCGCTAAGCGAAACGCGGTTCCCCAATTGAAATGCATTGAAACCTATTCAATGCATCTCAATGCGGGGGGGAATACAACAACAACTTTAAAAAGAGTCAAAACAAAGTCAAATTTGGTTAACAAAGGGTTTATTAAGTGCACTTTATGATTTCAAACATTTTAAACAGTAAACTTTAACTTTATAAATAACAGGAAAACATTTAAAAAACAGCAAAGATGAGGTTGTTTAAACCATCGTTAAGCAAAAGAGGGGACCCAAAATTTAATCGCTATGCGAAGCATGGTCCCAACCATCGCTAAGCGAAAATCGCCCACATGGACCATCGTTAAACGAAGCGCAAAAACGCTCCGGAAAAGTTGTCGCTAAGCGATTTCGTCATTAAACGGAGCAATCGCTAAGCGAGGCACCACTGTATTTTACATTGGTTTTATATATGTTGGAAGCCGCCCAGAGTAGTCGATTGACTAGATGGGCGGGGTATAAATGCAATAAATAAATAAATAAAAATAAATAAAGCACGGAAAAATACAGCCTGCAAAAGGTCAACAAACTCTACCCAGCCACAAGGACCAGGGATCATTGCACAAAAAAAGACCCGCTAAAGACACCCATCAATTACAGTGACAGATAATCTCTCCCCCTTATCACAACAATACATCCACAACAAAAACACACTGATTGCCATCATCACCCTATCTCCTGAAAAGGACAACAGCTGTTTCCACAGCTATAAATACTCAACTATCCAACAAACAGCAACAGAGCATGGACTGAGTTCCTACTCCAGTCCTCTGAAGATGCCCGCCACAGAGACTGACGAAATGTCAGGAAGAACAACCTTCAGAAAACGGCCAAAGAGTCCGAAAAACTCACAACAACCATCAGATCCCGGCCGTGAAAGCCTTCGAGAATACACCCAGAAAGTGTTCACACTGATGGGTGGCACAGAAGTCAAAATAATAAATAATGAATGAATTAATTAAATAATAAATAATTAAGGACCGAACTGGACCTATGTTTATCTCATAGTTAGCTCTGACATACTTGTGTGCTCAGGTAGTAAACAGTCAATGAATGTTAGGGGAGAACCAGATTGCACCATGATGTAGAATGAAAGGGATTTTAAACCAAGCCTTCCCTTCCCAAGGTCCTTGTTCATATCTCACTATACACTGTTTTCATGATGGGAAACATTCCCCTCCTTGCAAGTAGCAGGTAAAAGACTGTGTCAGAAACAAAACCTTAAAACCTTCTCTTTCCATGTCATAATTCTAGTCTGTCTCCTTTCAACAGCCAGGTTGGTCATCCGTGTTGTGTGTGTTTTTAAAGCACGCATATGTGGCAACTACATCTCGCGTGGCCCCAGGAGCAGTATATTTTGTAAATATGTAGGATCAAATCAAGACATTGGTAAATAAGCTACTCACATCTTTGTTGCCCTCTTTGCTTCTGTCATAGTGCTTGTGACAATAGCTGAAATACAACATCAACAGGAAACTGAGAGTGGCTTTGAAACCCAGCTCTTTAGAACAGCTACATTGCAGTTTACAATTGTCAGTAAAATCTAACAGCATATTTATTTTGCACAATAAACTTAAAAAGCAGAATGATCACCATGGAAGATAGAAAAGCCTATTGCAGGATTTCCCCCCTCCCCACAAATTGCCTTTATACACTCTGTGAAATAACACCTATGCATGGAATTGCTTTACAGTGCAAACCTAAATGGGCTAAAGAGCAGCCCAGATCCACTGCCCATCACAAAACTTGCAGGGTGCCAAAGGAAATGTTTTTATTTTATTTTATTTATTTTATTTATTTAATTTATATGCCACCCACACTACCCAAGATCTCTGGGCAGCTTACAACATTTAAAATACAATAAAAATTCTGAACAATTAAAATGCAATTAAAATATATATAAAAATTGCCATCGGACCCACAGCTAATATTATTTCAATTAAAAGCCTTCTGGAACAGGAAGGTTTTGACCTGGCACCGAAATGTCATCAGCGTCGGCGCCAGATGAATCTCAGTCGGGAGGGCATTCCATAGTCTGGGGGCAGCTGCCGAAAAGGCCCTTTGTCTACAAGCCGTCCCTCTTACCTCCTTAAGGGACGGCTCTTTCAAAAGGGCCCCCTGGCTAGATCTTAACTGCCAGGTAGGTTCCATTTTAAATTTTCAACTTCATGTTTCAACTCTCATTCACCAAAAGTAATAAGAAATTAGCTGAAGGGTCCAACTGGGTGTAGCAGTGTATCTAAATTCTATCACACTTTAAATAGGGTGGAGAAAGGTTAACAAAGGTAGTGTATAATATAGAGGTTTATAAAGAAAAAAATTAAAATTGGAGGGAATGATGTTTCCTGAGCAGTTCTGTTAGATATATCTCTCTCACAGCTTGGAAAAATTACCTTTTTGGACTGAACGAATACAATTTCCTGGATAGTAAATTAATTTCTCTAAACTCTGAACCCAAGGAATTAGATAATAAAGACATAAAGACAGGAGCAGGATGTTCTTGGGAAAAATCAGAGATGATTTTTGATCTATTGGATTAAGAGCTCCTCTAGTCCCCCAAGAGGGACTCTGACCAGGTATCTGCCTTAAGTACTATCTCTTGCTTTCTACAGGAACTATAAAAAAGATAATATAATTCTGAAGCTGTGGAAACACCAGCTGCAATAAGGTGTATAGGAAGACATATTAAGATGGCAAGTGAGCAGCAGAATGTTACAGCATATATCACAGGCTGCATATACATCCCACCTAGACAGGCAGGACAGCAATGACTCAGTAAGCAGGTCAGTCATCAAACAAAACATCTGTGTTAAACAGAGACGTACTTCTCAGCCATTTTAGTATCTTTCAGGATGTGAACATATATAAAAAGGGCTTGTTCGTGGTTTCCCATCCGTCCCAACAGGAGAGCGCGTTCTTCCAGAAGACCTAGAAACAAAAATATAGGGCTGCTGCTGTAAGTGTTTTCAGCAGTGAGTGTCATGGTTTAGGATATTGAAGCTAAAATCTAATTTCTAAATGGGATTTATAGTCATGGAATGTTGCAGAATGAATTCATCTTAGTCTGTGTCATTTTACTAGAAGCATTGAGAAGCTTGCAGCTAGTTAGGAATGTTATCATATAGATAGTTTGGCCAAGGCCGAAGACGATGAGCTGAGCCATAACATCGAGGAAGAATGTCAACAACACCTGTGATCTCATGAGAAAAGGAGGTGGAGAGAGATGAGCAGTCCTTCGTCCTGATTGGCTTACGTTAGTGGAGAGTGAAGAAGGAGGTGTTTCCAGCGTGTGAAGAAAATGACAGGATGTTACAGGGAGAGAGACTCTTTTTAGATTCATTTTTGGATTAATGGATTTTACCATGGATTTTTGAGTTTTGAATGGACTTTGGAGTTCCCAATGCTAAGATGCAGTTTATAGTAGGAGAATAGAAAGGGGGGGCTTAGCCTTACCTGCCTTTCTAGCTATTAGAATTTTCTTATTTTAATTTTTGTAGCTGGAATTTGCTAGATTTCTAACTATAGTAGATTATCGAAATGATTTTGAATGCTATGCTTTGCAACAAACAATATCTCTAATTCTTTATTTTTCTAATAAAACAATAATACGTAAAAACTTATGCTTGGTCTCTTGAGCAGATAACCTGCTACTTTGCTTAACTGGTTTTTCTAGAAGGCCACAAATTAAGCTACTTTGAGTCCAGTAATTGCCTGAGTTTTGAGAGCTCTGGATGACTCTAAGACTCATGATTTTAACTTGTTTTTTTTCTCAGTGATTATTAAGTGGGAATAGACTTGGAAAAAGGGTGCCAGTGGGACAGCCTGGTTGAGACAAGGACTCATCTCAACTTAAATAGGGGTCAACTGGACTCTGAACCTCTCTATTCCAGCCTCAGCATTCTCTTAGGAGAGCTTACAGTGAGCACCAGAGATGGGCACAAACAGCTGATTAAGTGGTTTGTAATGGTTTACTCTTTGGATGCACAGGTGTTCCAAAGGTGGCCCGGCTTTCCTCTCCCAACTTCTTCCAGCGGCACCCACTCAAAAGGCAGCATCCTGGGCTTCTTTGCCCTGCCTCCTCCTCCGAGCGGGCTCCCACCAGAGGAGGCAGGGGAGGGAAGCCAGGATACCCACGGAACACCTGTGCGTCCGAAGAACGAACCACGACAAACCACTGAATCACCACTTCATGTCCACCTCTAGTGAATGTTATCCAGAGCAAAGTAGACAAAGAGAATCTGTGGCAAAATCTGTTACTTAGGCAGGAAGGGACTGAAGCGGTGGCTCTTGAGAAGGGACGCAAACAAATATATGAATAACTAGTTTACATGCCAGTGCCAAGAGGAAAGCAAGAGCAGGACCGGGCAGGGGGGTTTGCCCAATGGTAGGCAGGGCTTAAGCTAACATTGTATGGGTGAGAGCCTAAAGCAGTTCAGCCAATATTTTTCTCACTCTCTCTTGCTATACTATCCTCTTTTCTCTCTCTCTTGACACCCCGCTTTGATTTTTTTTTCTCCCTCTTTCCTTCCTTCTCTCTACTCAGCCTGTTACTGGACAATGGACGGGTAACTCTCCTACAGGCCTGAAATTATGTGCACTGGGCTTCTGAAATTAGATGGAGGACCAAAGAAGAACAGGCTGAGGGTGATGGGTTACATGCCCATTTTAGATATTAACAGCATCACACGATCTCATGCATTTTCTGCATTATATACCATTCTGTGGTCACCTGTATTTTCCGCCCAGCAAATAAATGTTTCAAATATTGTTATCATTTATAACACACAGGTCTTTATGCAGCATAGTCATGAATGGGAATCCCTTTACATCAGTTGCAAAAATAAAACAAGACATATATGCAGGAAGCCAGTGGTAGAAGCATTCATTCATTCATTCATTCATTCATTCATTCATTCATTCATTCATTCATTCATTCATTCATTCGATTTATGTATCGCCCATCTCGAATGTGTCTATGACACAGTTTCCAGTTTATGAAATGTTGTTTTCCAGTTTTTAAAATGGAACTTTAAAAAGAGAGAGAGAGAAATGTCAAAAACACCTAAACAAATATTAGAAAGATTATACTCAAATAAATCGAGTTGATGAGCTCAGCATGTCCCATCAGCACTACCTGGCACCTCTTACCATCAAAGGGAAAGTCACTGATGAGCTGCTCAGCATTATAGCAACTGGATGTCTCAAGAAAGAACAGCAGTTTTTGCCGGTAGTCTCCTAGTTCACCCTCCTCCTCTCCAGCTGGCGTTGGTGTCTTATCTTCAAGCATAACACATGTTACTAAATTTATTTTACTGCTTCACATATACTTTTGTTAGATCCCAATGCACATTAGACCCAAGATGGGCAACCCCCCTTGGCACCTGGGGCCATTTTCCAGCCTCAACACCCTTTAGGGAGGTCATACAAACTCCTCCCAATGAAACTAGAAGTGATTTATTACCAATTTTTTAAAAGAACATCTTTTCTGCTAAAATCAAGCAGGGGACATCTTGTTTTAAAGGAGAATCATGTCCTCTGTTTCTTTGGTTGGGGGATAAAATGAGAAATAATATTTTTTGTTCTGGATGTTGAAAAAGTTTCTCAGGGGCCACATTATCCCCATCTCCATGATTCACATCAAAGAATCACACGGCCAGAATGCTACTAGGGAAAAAGGGCAATTGCATAAGGAATTCCCCTTAACTTTGGTGGTGTATCTGTCACATAACTGGTCACACTGTGGTTGCAAAATATATCACACAACCAATCACTCATGGAACACTGCACCAATGGTGGGGTGGGGGAAGGCAACCATCTTTCCACATAGGCTTCTCCCAACAGGATTCTTGCTTGAATCATTTTCTCAATGGGGTGGCTGATATCAAGATATTGTTTCCAAAGATTTGTGGACTATGGGTGAACATACCTGGAGGAAAAGAGCTGAGATATTCCTTCATTAAGCCTTGTACTTTTTCACAATAGAGCTGAATCAGGCAGTTGTGAAACTCTGAACCAGGCTCTTCCCAGACATGGATGATGTGTTCCTATGAAAACATATATGCATCCAGTGTGCAAACACAAATTTTAAAAGACTTGCACTTTCCATTAACTTTTCAATGTGTATCTGCCAAGAATTAAAAAAGTTATTTACCTCTAAATTTAACTACTGCTGTGTTACTGGTTGATATAGCTATAATTCTTTCATATTCACAAGTCAATCAGACAGAGCTAGACATTTATTATATAAGAAATTTTACTACTACAGAAAGGTCTTACCAAGTAGGGAATAGCCAAATTTTTAAAGTTCTCTATTAAAAAGTTGAGAACCTTTCTTCGTGGAAGGGATTCCACCTCAGGAAGATCTTCTGTAAATATCTGACAGACAAAAAGTTGAATTCACAAGGTTATGTTTTGCCATTTTACACACATTTTTCTGAAGGGAGTCAAATTTTTCATTTCATAAACTCATAAATGATATGCAATGGCTACAAATACAGGAAGCTTTTACCAAATCTGACCATTCATCTATCTAGCTCAGTACTGCTGGCACTGACTGGCATGGTTAAACGGAAAATTCTTTCCCATCCCTAACTGGAGACACCAGAGTCTAAAATGCAAAGTATGTGCTCTACCATGGAAACAGGATCTCTCTTCTTCAGCTTTATGAAGCTGGAAGGACAATATAAAAACACAAATATACATGTGTATATCCATGTCCATAAAATATTAGAGATATAAAAGACTATTCCCATTTCTATAAGTCTCTCTCTCTCTTACACACACACACACACACACACACAGCTATCTAATTCCCATATATCTATTTCACAGAGGCACAAAAAGCATAATATTCATCTCCATTCAGCATAGCAATACTAAGCACTGTCATCTAAAAAAACAAAAACAAAAACTCTCTCTTAGAATTATTAACTTCTGCTTCTCTTTCAGTCACAAGACCATTGTACCCAACATAATCCTGCAATTTCTATTAGTGTATTTTGAATTTGTTACAAAGAAAGGCTCTCTATAAGATGAAATGCACTTTGCATGTACTGCTATATTTTATCCAAACATACCTGTACCCTGCCAAGCCAAGATTTCCCTAGCCATCCTTGAAGGCCATTACAATAGATTATATGAAGCATTTTACTCTGAGGGCAGTTTAAGCCATCTGTGTGAGAGGCTGTACATGTATATCTAGGAACAGCTGCTGTTTGTAGCAATTTAAACTGGTCTCTGGGTGGCACTGTAATATGTAAAGCAGTCTCAATTTATTTACTTTTAAGATACCTTCAGGAATGTGAACTAATCAAGCCAAATATTAGAATAACCTACCTAGTATACAGTGGTGCCTCACTTAGCGACGTCAATCCGTTCCAGGAAAAACGTTGCTAAGCGATTTTAAAAAGCCCATAGAAACGCATTAAAACGTGTTTAATGCGTTCCTATGGGCTTAAAAACTGACCTTATGCGAAGATCCTCCATAGGGGCGGCCATTTTCGGTGCCTCTAAAGCGAGGCAAAACAGCGGGTGGCCATTTGTTTTTCCGGCAGCCATTTTGGAACTGCCGACCAGCTGTGCAAAAAGGGTCGCTTTGCCATGATCACTTCCCTACGATCATCGCAAAGCGATTTTTCCCCATAGGGGCCATCGCTAAGCGATCGCTCTGGTGATGGCCAAAACCCCATCGCTAAGCGATTTCATCTGTAATTTGCTTTACTTAGAATGGACAGTGGATAGACCCTAATCCTCCCCTCCTCTATATTTTCAAATGTGACCAAGTGTGCTTACTTTCAATCCATCTTCAGGGAAGTCTCTGAGCACCCAAACAGAATAGGAAAATATTAAATTCAAGTTCTCAGTGCCTAGAATAAGAAACAAAATAATTTAAAGAAACACACTGGAAAAATATCCACAAGAGCAGAGATAGTCAGACATATCCAATGTTCCCTCTAAGTTTCTGGAGTGCTGAGCAGGGGCTCTACACCCTGCATGCAAGGTTCTAGCCGCAACCAGAAGCAAATGGGCGGAAACACTGGCTTGTCTGTGCACACCTGATGCAGCACTGTGCACATGCATGGCTTAGAGGGAATGCTGGATATATCCTTTCCCAAAAAGGATGCACAGTCCTCACATCACAACCTTTGGTTGGGATCTGCTCCACAAAATGCTAAGATATGCTTGAAATGCTTCACCCACCACCACTTTCCAGGGTACAAGTCAAAGCGTTGGCTTCCAGTTAGGGCTGTTAAATGTGTCTAGCTTCAACTTATTTTTGTAAAAGTGCCTTCTTCAATAAGACCATCACACCCTTTTGAAGTCATTTGTGGGGACAGTTACAAGTGGTTAACGATACAGGACAGACCATCACTGTTACAACAGTACGATTTCTGAAGGTCTTTCAATGTTTGTCAGGCTTAGCTACTTCTTCCAGGAGAGATCAAGAAGAGATGAATATGTATTTGATTTAAAAGCTTTAGAACCAAATTAACCACTGTCCATTGTTTTCATATTATTATGCAGCCTAATTTATTTTATGAAAGCAATTAACCTGTTGCAGGTTATATTGTTTAGTTTTGTTTCCTGGGTCCCAGTAAACCTTCTGTTCAGTCCAAAGGCAGAATGTAAAATTTAAATGTTGAAGCCATGTTCAACTATACTCACCTAAATGTTGTAAATACTGCACCGTCCTCTCATGCCCCTTCAAAGGTGAGTTAGCCTTTTTTGACTGATCCACTAGCACCTGCAAGGCTACAGCAAAATAAAATAAAGTTCTCTAAATATTATCCTTTAAATTAAACAACGTAATTACTCAGGCTGAATGTGCTTTAGGCAATAAAAAACATGGAGTTAACACCATCACAAGACAGCTGCATTCAGTTTCCCTGTGCACACGTGTGCATGAACATCCTCACCTTTTAAGGACCAAGACCAATATACATCAAAGAGGCCGTACAATGAACACACTCTGTGCCCTTTTTTTCACATGGCTGAGAGTCTACGAAATATTAGCGCATGTTTTTATAGCACGTGCTTCTTTCACAATCAATCCTCTCTTCCATTCTGCCCTGCTACAAAGGCTCCATTTATTTAGCGTTCTTCCTGCATTTAAGCACCTGATTCGGAACTGACTCGGGCTTAAAAAGTCTTCTTGTGACCATGGGGGGTATGGGTGCAATTTCAATAAGGTACTCTTTTACAGTATTTAAAAAAAAAACTCTGGGCAAGCGTGCCATCCTCCAATGTCCAGATATGGGCAAGTGTGGCCCACGGATATCTAGAGATCACTCAACACTGATCTACAAATCATATATTACACACTGATTGCTTCCTCCCATCTCAAAGCTCTTACCTTTTTCATGAAGACCTTTCTTCTCATATAGTATAATCAGTTCACTGTATTTGTGAGCTTTCTTGAGCACATGTTCACTTTCCTCAATATGGCAGTGATTGTTCTCGAGTCGCAACAGTGGCGCCACTAGGGCTACATTAGTCTGCCAATAAGGAGGAACAATTTCAGGGAACCTGGAACCATTTATGACTGTACATCTCCTGCCTTCAAGGTTTTAATCAGAAAAAGAAAGATATTTACTCAATTTAAAAAAATCATTTAAAATAAAAGGATATTTGTTACTCTCGTTGTTTCTAATATTGTAGACGGGGATTGGTTTCAGGCTGTCTAACCATACTATAAAGTTTTGATTTTTTTTAAAAAACTGCATCAACATTTTAAAAATTGCATTAACAAAATGATGCTATTAGAGCAGTTAAATTCCCCCCCATACTCAAAGCCCAAGAAGTTACAGTGTTTCTATCTTTTGGTCCTTAATAAACACAGATTATTGACCACAGTTCCTGTCCCTGAAAGTCTAAATGTCTGATCAGAAACAGAGATCTTAGAGGCAGAAGGTGCAGAAAACTCACATGGAGGTAGCATTTCAAGAGGGTGGTGTCAATGATCTGCAGTAACTTCTTTTTGGATTTGATGGTGGGGGTCCCCTCCATAAGCGGAGAAGTGCTGGACTGGTGGTCTGAGTCATTCAGCTTCTTCACTAGTTGACTTCTTTTCTGCAGATATTAAGAGTTAGTGTAAAGGGAATGAAGATGTATCATGCTTTGCCTGCATGGGCCCAGAGAAAAATATGAACCGTGGCAAGGTACATTGGTTCAGAGCAGTTACATTTGTAATTGATTTTGTTAGCCTAGCTTCTCTAATTCTCCTCTTTTCCCTATTGTCTAGATAC